ACACCCTCACACAGACATACATGCAGGCAAAATACCAATGTACATAAAATCCAAATAAAGCCGGGCGGTGGTGGCGCACGCCTTTAATCCCAGCACTCGGGAGGCAGAGCCAGGCGGATCTCTGTGAGTTCGAGGCCAGCCTGGGCTACCAAGTGAGTCCCAGGAAAGGCGCAAAGCTATACAGAGAAACCCTGTCTCGAAAAAACCAAAAAAAAAAAATAAATAAAATAAAAAAAAATAAAATAAAATCCAAATAAATAAATTAAATTAAAAAAGAACAGCCGTGCCACAACGTGCAGCTGGGTCCTGGAAACCTGACTTGGAGCAAGGAGAGATTAAGAAAGACAGACATAAGTAACATGAAGCAAGAATCAGGTTCACTGTGCACTCGCATGAAATGTTGAAGTCACCTCTGGCAAGGAAGCTATGATTGGTACTTTTTCCATGTACTGTTCTTTAGCTAAATGCCATTGTTTGTCAGTATCCAAACTATGGCCAGGGAAAGACCTTGGCTTCCCCTGAGCCTACCTTGAGGGAAGCACTGCTCTTCCCATGAATTTGAGGCACTGAACTTCTCAACATGTCTGTGTTCATGCCATGAAAGCTCATTTATACAGGGGATGCACTCACCCCTGAAGTAGTTGTTGTCAGACCCTAAAAATATTGCTGAGCAAATTCGCACAATTCTTAGAAGAGAGGCCTTTCTAGTTAGCCTCTGAGTGAGGCTTTATCCTGTTGCCTGACTTCATTTTGCTGCCCTTAATTTCACGCCTTTCTTGCCATACGCTGTCATCCACAGAGAAAGCCTGGGCATCCCCTGAATGCCTGTGATTTAGTCCTTTTCTGGGTTGAAAGGTGTTCCTAGTGGTGACTGTGATGAATTATGAATGCTGGGGGAATTACATAAGACGTAAGTGTACCTATGACTTGCTCATTCTATTTTCTTTCTTCCAAGATATGGTTATTAAGTGTCTGCTTGTGTCAAGCACTCTTCTAGAACAGTTATTTTCAACTGAGAACGACTTGCATTCACAGGGGACATTGAACAAAGTCTAAAAACTTTTTTTTTTTTGCCATCACAACTAAAGGATGTAGTGGATATCTGTTCTACCCTTGACCTTGAAGCACCGCCCCTAGAGATGTAGCAGGAAACTGTCCTACTTACCTATGACCTTGAAGTACCTGCCCCTGGGGTGTGGTCTCGGGGACACCCTTAAGACCTGAGAGGTAGGTATGCCTCTCTCTTCTCTCCCTTGTGGGCTTGGATACAGAGACGGACTTAGGTGGAAGAACAGTGCGGGACTGTACTTTGGCCTTCCAGGACCTTACAATAAATCTCCTGTACTGTACAATAAATCTCCTGTACTGTACAATAAATCTCCTGTACTGTAGTGAGTCTTCCTTCCTAATAAATTCCTTTACCCATTAAGCTGACTCTATGGATTTCTCGTAATAAAGGGATGTCACTGAAAACGACTCTTTTGGTTCTGGATGACACCAAACATCCTACAATGCACACAGATCAGACTCCACCATAAAGAATTATGCAGCCCAGAGGTCATTAGGGCCAAAGATGGAGAAAGCCTATTCTAGATGTTTAGAGAAATTGCATTCCAAATACACAAACACCCCAGCTGTTGTAGAATAGAAATGTTATAAGAAATCAAAGGTAGACTGTGACAATAATGAGTGGATTACACAGTAGTAGATGCTCTTCTTTTAACTGGCAAAGTTGAGTAACGTAAGAAGAAGAAAAAAAAAAAAAAACTGGTCATGGAGAGCATTAGAGAGGATGGCCAGAGGTGAGTGGGAAAGATTTGAGCGAAGATCTGAGGTGCATGAGAAAAGAAGGCAAATGGGTATCTGAGGGAAGAACAGCTCAAGCAGAGAGAACAGCTGCAGCCAAGACTCTACGGCAGAACGGGCTGGAAGCGTCCCAAAAGAGCAAGGAGGCCAGAGTACGCGATGGGCGAGCCAGGACAGAGGAGGATGGAAACAGAGAGCAAGCAGCCATCTAGATCATGTGGGATCAGATGGGCTACAGGAAAGACTTCAGTTTCTAAAGCTACGTGTGTCCCTACGTGCCTGTAATCTCAGCACTTGGCAGGCAGAAGGAGTCTAAGTTTCGGGACAGTCTGAGACACATGGGGGAGACACTATCTCTGAAAGAAAAAAAAAACTTTAGTGTTTACCTTTCAAGTACTATTTTGAGCATACATGCGGCACAAGCTGACTTACACAGTTTTAGCGGCTTTGCTGAGAGCAGGCTGAAGAGGGGCAAGGCAGAAGAACCAGGAGACCCTAGCAGGGGTGGTGAGAAGTGGGTAGACATGTTTGAAGGGAAAAACCTAACAGGGTTTGTGATGACTAAAGTTTGATGTTAGAGTTCTGGATCTGAGCAGCTAGAGTGATAGGTCTTATAAGATATCAAGATGGGGAGGATGGCTGATCCAAGGTGGCTTTAGTGTGAAAGAGCAGGACTTGAGCCTCTGACCTAAGTTGTGTCTGTTAGAACTCTGAATGGAGTTGTGGTGTCAGCAGTCAGCTATACACACCCTGAGTTCAGGAGAGAGAAGTCTGCTGTGGAGGTGTGTGAGTCAACAGTACTGAGGAGAGAAGTATTGAGATGACAAACAGGTAGCAGGAGCGGGGAGCAAAGGGCAAGCCCCGGATGCTGCACTCGGCACACCTTGGAAAGAAAGGGAGGAACCAGCCGGAGACAGCGAAGGAAGACTCGGTGCCATAGGAGAGGAAAAAAAAATGTACCAGCACAGGTAAACTGGGGGCTGGGATAGGTGGCCCACACCTTTAATCCCAATACCTGGGAGGCAGAGGTGGGCAGATCTCTGTGAGTTCAAGGCCAGCCTGCTCTACATACTGAGTTATAGACCCTCTAGGACTACATAATGACACCATGTCTCAAAGGAAAAAGCAAATATGGGGCTAGAAAGATGGCTCAGCTCTTGAAAAGGACCTGGGTTCAGTTCCCAGCACCCACATGTTAGCTCACAATCAACTCCATTTCTAGGGGTTTCATGCCCTCTTCTGACCTCCCTAGGCCCTAAGTACACACATGATATACATACATATATGCAGGTAAAACACTCATACACATAAATTCTTAGAAAATTTTAAAGACAGACACTATGATTGCCTGGCAGCGTAAGAGACCACTGGCATTCCAGTCATCCTTTTAAAATGAGACCTGCCAGTGTTGGTGTGAGAGTTTGCCCTGCACTCTCAGCTGCATGGGCCCAGCTCAGGGTGAGTGAGGTTAAGCTGAGCCACAGCCCTTGCGTTCCTGGAGTGTGACGAAAATGAAGAACCAAGTATTTGAACACATATGCAAAGGGATGGTTATAACTAGTGTCCAAACTGGTCACTCATCTTTTCATAATGTGTATTTTTACCATCCAGATGTACTCGTGCATGAGGGGATCAAAAGCAGCTGCTGAGTCAGCCACATTGCTAACTCGGCAAAGTGCATGGATTCATAGGACCAACATAGGTCTACAGACTTCTCCCCGTCTCTTTTTTCTGCCTACTTTCCTCACACGTTAAGAGTCTGACATTTTGCCGGGCGGTGGTGGCGCACGCCTTTAATCCCAGCACTCGGGAGGCAGAGCCAGGCGGATCTCTGTGAGTTCGAGGCTAGCCTGGGCTACCAAGTGAGTTCCAGGAAAAAGGCGCAAAGCTACACAGAGAAACCCTGTCTCGAAAAACCAAAAAAAAAAGAGTCTGACATTTTAAGTCTCCAAGAGATGTCATGACTCTCCAAAAAAGGCTTCCTAGTATTTATTAACCAAAAAACAAAAATGTTTCACAAATAGCTTAATCAAACTTCCCATGCTCCTATTTGAATATTTCCTCTTCCCATTCTTGATAGGAACAAAGAATGACTTGCCAAGTTTTTTAATATTCCTTCATGTTACTGACTAATATGAATCCAGTAAATATACTTCACTGGCAGATATACAACAGTGAGCAAGCACGTTCTTTTTTCTCCCTTCCTTTACAGGCATGTGGCCACATATGTATGATTTCAATGTGTTATGATAAAGGCTGTGCTTGAATCTCATGTGAACATAGAAGGGGGCTCTCACATGAGTAAGGAAAAGGAAAGCGCATGAACAATTTCAAAAAGAGAAGAGATAGAAGATGAGGGGGTGTTTGGTAAAAAAAAAAAGTGGGGGACAAAAGTGTTCCTGGCAGTGCGAAGCCTGCTAGAGAGAGAGAGTAAGGTGTGAGAGAAAGTCATAGTGTTTGGAGTGCAGGAGACAGAGAACCATGTGGAACTGCAAAGACCAGTAAGGGCACTGGGAAGGTTCAGTCAGTCTAAGAATGTAGGTTTCACTCCAAGGGCACTGGCTCCATCAGTTTGTGCCTTGCAAGGTTCACTCTGGTTGCCTAGTGTGGGTAAAGAGTCGGAAGAAGGTGACACATTGGGTGTGGGGGCAGGGCTGGTGTAGTGGATAGCTGTTCTGTCTATGGCCTTGAAACTCCACCCCTAGAGATGCAGCAAGTAACCATCCCACCTACCTATGACATTGAAGTACCTGCCCCTGGGACACGGCCCAGGGCTACCCTTAAGACCTGAGACTTGTGAAGGCCTCTCTCTTCGATCCCTCATGGGACTTGGATGCTGAGACAGTCTCAGGCAGAAGAACAGCATGGGACCATGCCTCATCATTCCAGGACCCTGCAACAATCCCTCTGTTCTGTCTTGTGAGTTTTCCTTTCTTTTTTTTTTAAACCAATACAGCACAGATTTTAATGTCTACAATTTAGTCTTCATCACATAAATATAATATTTATAAATATGTATTTGCAAAATTGCTATTCTTAAAACATTTATTTCTAACACATTAAAATTTCTTACAAGTGATTTTAGGGAAAAATACCATTCCATTTGAAAATGTACAAGTAGACTTCAATGTGTGATTATACCAGCGTAACCAGATTAAGAAAAAGAAACACACTACTGTGTTAGATGCATTATCAATTAGAAACCATGATAATATGTCTTAATGTGGTTACCAAATGCATGCTCTTGCTTTTTGTCAGTCATTCTCAGAACCATTTGGAGGTAAGAAAACCAATGCATCATTGAAAATATGTCCAAATGCCCTAAGCCGGTACACCCCATACATCATCACATGCATCTGATTAGGAGTCAATCCATTAAAAGTAACAGCCGTATCAGAACAGCATCCTTCAACTACCTGGTTTGGGTGGTTAGTCATTGCCTCTTTAATGAAAAGCCCAACAGATTTGGTATTAAATACATCTTTTCCATTGGCGTCTTCTGCATTTTCTGCAAATACTCCAGCATATTTCAGGCAGACTGCTAGCTGCTTATCTTCAGATATCTTCCAAATCATCCCTCCTTGTTCAGGACACTTTTCAGGAACATTGAGAAGGCTGTTGAGTCTTTTCATTGATTCTATGCTTAAGACAATTCCTCCATCCACACTCACATATTCAAGGTCTCCAGATTTTACAGCGTGTCCTAGATAGAAAGGTTGTGATGGATCCTTTTTTAACAAAAAATATTTTAGATTTTCAATAACAGCAAAAGTAGTGGGGCGTGCAAGGAAGAACCAGTTGTACTGGTCGCGTGCAAGGAAGAACCAGTTGTACTGGTCTCTGTATTTATCAAAAGCATATTTGTAAGCCTCCCTCATCATCTACCATATGTCATTCGTGTCCACATTAATTGACTCAAACACGTTAACATTTTCAGAACTGAAGAACTCTGCTTTGTCACAGTGTTTGGTCCAAGTCTCCTTTACTGCAGCCCAAAGACTCACATCTTTGGGTTTTACAAGAACAATACAGTATACCTGGAAGCTCTTACTAAGCTCCATGCGTTCAGTCTCTGAGATTTTCAAGATATCTTCTTTGTTAGGAGCTTGAGTTTTCCTTTCTTAATAAATCCCTTTGCCCTTTAAGCAAACTCTGTGGATTTCTCACTTTGGGGAGGGGGGTTGAAAAATGAGCTAAAAGGTTGGTGCAGTCATTGGGGTGGACAATAGTGTCCTAAACTAATCATTGGCAGCAGAAATAAGTGGATGGTTTCAGAGATAGTTGGGAGTAGTTGAATGTGGTTTACTGGCTTGAAAGAGTCAAGGAAAGGTAGGTAGCAAGAGGGATGTCATCAGAGGCATCTTTGAGGGGGAATATTGGATCCAAAGTGCTGCATCAGATCCGGACAAGGAGGACACACTTAAGAAGCATCTGTAAATAGATGATAATAGAAGCTGTAGGGATGGATTAAACCACCAGCTGTGTGGAGTATGAAGAAAGGAAGCGTTAAGTCAGAGCTTTGAGGAACAGCAGCCTGTAAAGGCAGGTTGGAGCTCAGAGGGGTTTCCAGTAGCTGAGACCAACCGGAGAGGTTGGAGCAGAAAGTCAGGCGAATTCAAAGTGACTGAAGCTCAATAAGAGGGTGGTCAGCAGTGCCCACTGTTGCCAAAGGCCAAATGACAGGAGGTCTGTGGGGATGCAGAGCGGCTGTGAGGCTCAGGTCCAGACCACCGTGAAGGAAGGAGTGAACCAGAGTTCAGCATTTTCAGAAAGTGAATGTAAACAATTTCAGGAAGTTCGTTATACCTACATGTGAAGGCAGGTAAAGGGGAGATTGAGAGTCTGTCATCACATAAATAATCTCCTAGGTGACACACTGGTCCATTTTCACACAAGTTTTCAAGATAATGACTTCAACTCTCATTCTGTTTGAGAGCACAGACTCAGCCGATGACAGGTCTTCTAACTCCTCTCAAATTTCCTTTCTTGAAACAAAATTATCTCTCTTTAATGAGGCTTGGCAAACCTATCACCCTCTAATTATTTTTGTGACTGTCCTCAGAATGGTTTCCAAATTCTTGGAGTTTCTCTTTAATCTCTGAAGCATCATGAAATAGAAACCTAGCAACACGAAATACAGTAGGGACCCATCAACTAAGTGACAGAAACTGACTCGCTAAACAAAGAAATGACTCCTCCCCGAAAAAGGAGAGCATACACAAACAGAAACACAGAAGGGCAGAAACCGGAACAGTTTGGGCATCTTCATGGCAGGAAATGGTGACACAATCTCTTGAAGATGTGGCTACTGGTCTAGCCTGCGGGTGGCCACAAGCTAAGCTTTGGCCAGGAGAAGGAAGGTGTCTTAATTGTCGATACCATGATGGGTGGAGTAGATTTCCACCAAGGCATAAGTTGGATGCCTCAGAGGGAAGCAGGCTGGACATACACCATAGCCCATAGGGGATTCAAGTAATGGGGTTAAGAACTAGTTCTCAAGAGTAAGTATTTGTCTAGCTGCATGCGAGGCCTCATGCCGAGCCCTGAATGAGAGAAACTCAATTTTTCCCCAGTGTGCCCTTTCTGTCACTGACATTCCTCCTATGGCTCTTTTCTTTCTTTCTTTCTTTCTTTTCCCCCAAGACAGGGTTTCTTTGTGTAGTTTTGGTGCCTGTCCTGGATCTCACTCTGTAGACCAGGCTGGCCTCGAACTCACAGAGATATGCCTGCCTCTGCCTCTTGAGTGCTGGCATTAAAGGCGTGCGCCACCACCACCACCCGGCTTCTATGGCTCTTTTCTACCTGCGTCTTCATTCGCCACCTCTTTCCTGAGCAGAAACAGGAGGCAGATCTTCACGACTAGGGAAGAGCACATTGTTGTCATTTCCCTGGCCAGTCTCCCTCCTCACTCTGAATTAAAGTTCAAATCCCAGAACTCATTCTGGGACATTGATGGATGGAGCATCTACAATGGGTACCTCTCTTACCTGCCTCATTTGACTGTTAGAGGCAGCTGGAATGGAAAATTCAGACCCCTGAGTATGTTCTGAATCTAATGGTTCCATTTGGCTGGGTCCCCAGACAGAGGAACTGGAGAGCAACCAAATACCCACTCTTCTTTGCACTAGGCACATGCAGGCAGCCGAGAACCTTTAATGCCTTGATGGTTAAATAACTTCACAAACTTTCACTGCTGTCCCAGCCTGGACTTGTCCTTTATGCATCTCAGCCAATATTAAATTGTATGCGAAAAGAAATGTCGAGACCTTTCTCTTTTTAACTCAATTATGGAGAAACCACTGGAAAATTCGTAGGTAAATTAGAGTCTTTTTAAACAGTCATGTCTTGCTTTACAAAACAGGTATGTTTGTGGAAAGACATGAGCAAATGATTTAGAGGTTTTTGTTGTTGTTGGATTAATTTGTATTTGTTTCTCATAGGCTCGTAAGAATGCCATCACTTCTGCCTAAGCTTTAGTCTTTCCAAGTACAATAATGTGTCAGCAAAGTTTGCTGACTTCTTAGGTAGCCAGCCTGAATTCAAATCCAGTTCCACATTTTTTTTTCTAGCTTTATTCCCTTGCACATGCTGCCTAGTGTTTCAGGAACCCATTTTCCATCTTTGTAAAAGATGGCTAATGTCTTAGCAAGCATCTGGCTTAGCAGAAGCTAAACAGTCAATAAATTTTAGTAGCTGTTATTACTTCTAGATTTCTAAGTCTCTGTACCCCCCCATCTATGTTACAGAATTAGTAACTTAAAAACATTAAAAAGTATTATTAAAGGGGGCTGGAGAGATGATGCAGTGGTTAAGAGCACTTAACACTCTTGCCGAGGGCCCGAGTCAGTTCCCAGCACCCATATGGTAGCTCACAACCATCTATAAATCCATTTCTAGGGGACATGACATCCTCTTCTGCCCTCCTTGGGCACCAGACACACAGAACACTCACATGTGAAACTAAAATAAGTAAAATGTATAACTCAGGGGTTTTTAGTAAGTAGTCATCTGTAGCATTGGATGAGAAGTGGTTTCATAAACTCTCACAAATGCTAAGATTCATAGTTACTGGTCTCTTGTATAAAATGTCACAGTGCTCACATATAACCTGTGCACAGTATCTTGAACGGGGATACTCTTAAACTGTATTGACTGGTTTTCTCCTTGCTGTGATCAAAAGACTCTGAAAGTCACATAGGGAATGCATCAGGACACAGTCTCATTAGTGGCAGCAGGAATATGTGGCGAGCCCTACTCACATAGCATAGAATAAGCCAGAAGGAGAAGTACCCCTAGTGATCGACTTCGGCCAGCCAGCCCCTACCTCCTAAAAGCTCCATGGCCCTCAATGTTGTGCCCAAGCTCAGGATCAGGCATTCAAAACATGAGCCCAGGGCAGACACTCCAAACCACTATATGAACTTCTCATGAGGTGGCATACCAATAAATCCATGGTAGGTTATAAATATTCATATCCTAAAAGGTTTCACTAGCCTTACCTGCTGAACACTGCAGCTGAGCAGCCTAGCGCACTGTGAAGTTATTGTGTGACACTATTCCTGGGACACATGAACAAACATCTAGTTATCCACTGCCCCCCTCAAAAAAAAAAAAGGCAACTGGAGACAGACTAAACTACAGATACCACTAAAGTCCAACTTGGTGAGCCAATGAGAGTTTTGGGGGTGGCGGTTACTTACAGGAATATGGGTGAGGGGATTAATGATTCACAGAGAGCTGCATCACCAAAGCCCACCCCAGCACGGGTGACAGCTCACAAAAGCTGGAGACCGGAAGCACCTACCACACTATGGCAGGCAGCTCAACAGGTCCTTTGCGGGCGGCTCAGTTGGTCTGAGCCTCCTCCAGGCAGCTAGGTTGGTATTTCTCTCTTCAACACAGTTTCTTCCATGCTGCTCCTCTGGTCCGAGAGTCTTCGAGGCCATTCTGCTGGTCTGAGAGTGTCTTCAGGAGTCATCACCACTTAAATATGCTTGGTGAGGGAGAGACCTAGCGAATCTGGTCCATTTCAGGGACTTCCTGAAGCCTTTGAGACGTTTTCCTTCCAGAGTTTCGCAAACTTCCCTGAAGACAAAATGTTTTACCTCCCTTTACAACAATCCTATTCTTTCACCTCCTTTTTTATATCCTGTGTATCAAGACGTTTCCCTCCAAAATGAAATGTTTTAAGCCCAGAGGAAACTGCTGTTCCCTGGTCCTGTGGCTGACTGACTGTCCAGGTTACTTCTTGCTACCCAGCATCACAAGACAGAAATCACACCAAACATGACTAGCCTGGAGAAAGAATGAAATTCCACATGTGGTTTCTGCTGAGTGTATGTCATTTTCATAACTATCATAAAGTGGAAAAGTCCTGACTCAAACCACTTCAAATTGGGGGCCTGGTATTCTTTGATCTACAGATTACTTAACAGTACAGTGCCTCAATACAATAGATGTTCAATGTTAACTGTGGTTGGTACTAATTTGCCTAGAGAATACACGGTCAGAAAAATGTCCACCTGGGTGCCAGATAACTGCAAGTGATTCTTAAAGACATTGCTTCTGCAGTTAGTTAAACCTGTGGATTCAGAGCCCTTGGGTAGAAAGAGCTGACGATAGTCACAATGTTGTTAAAGAAATCACCACTATCTCTTTCCAGAACAGTTTCATCATCCCTAAAACAAACAGCACACTCACTAGTGGCCACTCACCATTCCTTGCTCTCCACAGCCCTGCAACCACTAATCTACTATCTGTCTGTATGGGTGTGTCTATTATGAACAACACAGATAAATAAAAGCATGTGATATGTGGTCTTTTGTGCCCATCTTATTGCCTTTAGCGTGTTGGTGTTTCCCATGTTCAGCTACTTTATAGAATGTACCAGTACTTCATTCCTTTTTGTGGATGAATGATTTTCTGATTTATGGATCCAATCCAATGTGTTTGATCATCTGGCTGATTGGACGTATGTTTTGGCAGATTCCACTTATTGGCTATTATGGGTGATATTGTTATAAACATTCATGCTTATATTTTCATGTAAACATGTTGAACCCTTTTGAAAAGTAAAAACTTTTTAAAAATGTATGTTCCATAAAACAGTTTAAAATTTAT